CTAACATCACTGAGGAGACATTAATTGTCGAAATCCGGATATGGTTTACTAATTTTTGCACATATTCTTTGCGGTATACAATCTTTTCCGCAAGTTTATTGTTTTCTGTTTGGTATAAAATTAATGATTAAGATCAATTTTGTTACAGCTTATGATCCGTTTATTTGGCAATCGCCAGCGGCAGTCAGCAGGGTTTCAGAACATCCGTTGTTCGTCCTGCTAGTTAAATGCGTTTTGTTAAAATATACTTTTTCACTTTTTTTTTGTGATTTGGAAAATGTTGTTTGTGCTGTATTTAGACCCCTCTAACAAAAAATTTGTTTTGCATGCACACGTATAAAAATTGCGGTTTTTATCCAACGCAATCATAGGTTTGCACGTTGTTTTCAATTTAGACTTGTTTATATTGTTTCGTTTGGGCTTGTATTATATTTGTCTTCGGGTTTATATGATCCGTTTATCCTATTTCGACTCTTAAAAATTCAAGAGTCTATCCAAAATTGGGGTAAATATATAGACTTCCAAATACCGTTTCGATTCCTAACATCACTGAAGAGACATTAATTGTCGAAATCCGGATATGGTGTACTACTTTTGCACCTAAGGCAAATTATATAGCCTTCCAAATACCTTTACATCTGGTGATCCGTTTATTTGGCAATCGCCAATGCCAGTCAGCAGGGTTTAAGAACATCCGTTGTTCGACCTTCTAGTTAAATGCGTTTTGTTAAAATATACTTTTTCACTTTTTTTTGTCTTTTAGAAAATGTTGTTTGTGCTGTTTTTAGAACCCTCTACAAAGAAATATGTTTTGCATGCACACGTATAAAAATTGCGTTTTTTTCCAACGCAATCACAGGTTTGAACGTTTGTTTTCAATTTAGACTTGTTTATATTTTTTTCATTTGGGCTTGTACTATACTTGCCTTCGGGTTGATATGATCCGTTTATCCTATTTCGACTCTTCAAAATTCAAGAGTCTATTCAAAATTGAGGTAAATATATAGCCTTCCAAATAACTTTTCGATTTCTAACATCACTGAAGAGGCATTAATTGTCGAAATCCGGATAAGGTGTACTATTTTTTGCACCTTTTGTTTGCGGTATACCATCTTTTTCGCAAGTTTATTGTTTTCTATTTGGTATTAAATTAATAATTAGATCAATTTTGTTACAACTGATAATCCGTTTATTTGCCAATCGCCAATGGCAGTCAGCAGGGTTTAAGAACATCCGTTGTTCGACCTTCTAGTTAAATGCGTTTTGTTAAAATATACTTTTTCACTTTTTTGATTTTTTGGAAAATGTTGTTTGTGCTGTTTTTAGACCCCTCTACAAAGAAATTTGTATTCTATGCACACGTACAAAAAATGGGGGTTTTATCCAATGCAATCATAGTTTTGAAAGTTTGTTTTCAATTTAGACTTGTTTATATTTTTTTCATTTGGGCTTGTATTATATTTGCCTTCGGGTTTATAGGATTCATTCATCCTTTTTCGACTCTTCAAAATTCAAGAGTCTGTCCTAAATTAAGGCAAATTATATAGCCTTCCAAATACCGTTTCGATTCCTAGCATCACTGAAGAGACATTAACTGTCGAAATCCGGATATAGCGTACTAACTTTTGCACCTTTTGTTTGCGGTATACCATCTTTTCCGCAAGTTTATTGTTTTCTGTTTGGTATTAAATTAATAACCAAGATCCATTTTATTAAATCTGGTGTCCGTTTTTTGGCAATCGCCAATGGCAGTCAGCAGGGTTAAAGAACATCCGTTGTTCGACCTGCTAGTTGAATGCGTTTTGTTAAAATATACTTTTTCACTTTTTTTGGTCTTTTGGAATATGTTGTTTTTGCTGTATTTAGAACCCTCTACAATGAAATTTGTTTTGCATGCACACGTATAAAAATTGCGGTGGTTTTATCCAACGCAATCACAGGTTTGAACGTTTGTTTTCAATTTAGACTTGTTTATATTTTTATATTTAGGCTTGTATTATATTTGCCTTCGGGTTTATATGATCCCTTCATCCTATTTCGACTCATCAAAATTCAAGAGTTTATCCTAAATTGAGGTAAATTATATAGCCTTCCAAATACCGTTTCGATTCCTAGCATCACTGAAGGGACATTAATTGTCGAAATCCGGATATGGTGTACTAATTTTTGCACCTTCTGTTTGCGCTATACCATCTTTTCCGCAAGTTTATTGTTTTCTGTTTGTTATTGAATTAATAATTAAGATCAATTTTGTTACATCTGGTGATCCGTTTATTTGGCAATCGCCAATGGCAGTCAGCGGGGTTTAAGAACATCCGTTGTTCGACCTGCTAGTTGAATGCGTTTTGTTAAAATATACTTTTTCACTTTTTTTGGTCTTTTGGAAAATGGTTTTTGTGCTGTATTTAGACCCCTCTACAATGAAATTTGTTTTGCATGCACACGTATAAAACTTGCGGTTTTTATCCAACGCAATCACAGGTTTCAACGTTTGTTTTCAATTTAGTCTTGTTTATATTATTTTCATTTTGGCTTGTATTATATTTGCCTTCGGGGTTTATATGATCCGTTTATCCTATTTCGACTCTTCAAAATTCAATAGTCTATCCTAAATTGAGGAAAATTATATGGCCTTCCAAATACCGTTTCGATTCCTAGCATCACTGAAGAGACATTAATTGTCGACATCCGGATATGGTGTACTAATTTTTGCACCTTCTGTTTGCGCTATACCATCTTTACCGCAAGTTTATTGTTTTCTGTTTGGTGCTAAATTAATAATTAAGATCCACTTTGTTACATCTGGTGATCCGTTTATTTGGCAATAGCCAATGGCAGTCAGCAGGGTTTAAGAACATCTGTTGTTCTACCTGCTAGTCAAATGCGTTTTGTTAAAATATACTTTTTTTTCATTTTTTTTTTTTGGTCTTTTGGAAAATGTTGTTTGTGCTGTATTTAGAACCCTCTACAAAGAAATTTGTTTTGCATGCACACGTATAAAACTTGCGGTTTTTATCCAACGCAATCACAGGTTTTAACGTTTGTTTTCAATTTAGTCTTGTATATATTTTTTCATTTGGGCTTGTATTATATTTGCCTTCGGGTTTATATGATCCGTTCATACTATTTCGAATCTTCACAATTCAAGAGTCTATCCTAAATTGAGGTAAATTATATGGCCTTCCAAATACCGTTTCGATTCCTAGCATCACTGAAGAGACATTAATTGTCAAAAATCCGGATATGGTGTACTAATTTTTGCACCTTCTGTTTGCGTTATACCATCTTTTCCGCAAGTTTATTGTTTTCTGTTTGTTATTGAATTAATAATTGAGATCAATTTTGTTACATCTGGTGATCCGTTTATTTGGCAATCGCCAATAGCAGTCAGCAGGGTTTAAGAACATCCGTTGTTCGACCTGCTAGTTGAATGCGTTTTGTTAAAATATACTTTTTCACTTTTTTTGGTCTTTGGGAAAATGTTGTTTGTGCTGTTTTTAGAACCCTCTACAAAGAAATTTGTTTTGCATGCACACGTATAAAAATTGCGGTTTTTATCCAACGCAATCACAGGTTTGAACGTTTGTTTTCAATTTAGAATTGTATATATATATATATGTATACATACAAGTCTAAATTGAAAACAACGTTCAAACCTATGATTGGGTTTGTACATATATATAAGTACGTCTGAACCAGTGACAACTCTACGACAGATTGTATCTATCGGATCACCAGTGATGGTGATACAAGGCTGAAATATAATTCATAAAATATCATTGACAGTAAAAGCAAAGGTAGCATGAAATGAAATTGAAAAGATTATGAGTCCCTCTCCTTGGTTCTACAGACGGTTTTAAAAAGGACCCAGTGATTTTGTATATATCGTTATACTGCAAGGTTATGGAAATATGTTTTCAGGGTTAAATGAATCATTATAGTAATATGTGTTTATGTCTTTAAAAGAATAAATAATATTGTCCTTCGCTCAATGATAGTTCCAAACAAGGAAAATTCAGTTTTTAAACCCAAGATAGTCTTCTTTCTTGTTCACATTTTCTTCAAAAAACCCGGACCATTTGTTGAAAAACCAGGAAGTTTTTGATGTTGCACTCGAAATAACACGGACAGTATAAAACACTGAATTTTGAGTGAACTACAAGTAAATTGTGAGTCGTTTGTGTTCAAAACATATATAGCATTCAGAATAAGATAAACAGTCACGAATAAAATTATTAAATTCGCGAAATAGCAGTAAATCAATCTGATTGCAAGTTTTATCACTCGAAAAAACCTGACCTACACTCGAAAAAAGTAGACCGATTCACTCGAAAAAACATGACCTCAGCCGGATACTATACCTACCGTGTTGGTGAGTTTTGTTTCATTTATTTATTGGTCCGTCGGGAAAGGTTTTAGTTAAAGGCATCAGAAAGGAGTATTTTGCTTTAATGTAATCAATATAAGGGGATACAATTTACTGCAAATCATCTCAGAAAATAATATTTTTTATATAAGTCGGACTATGCATATTTTGTTTTATATATTAAGTTTTTTTTTCTCATATAACACACATATCGATCAATCATGACACCATCGGTGTGTTATGCGACAATTAAGAAAAACCTTAATGTATGCATTATCTATAATATAATTACAATTTAGTTCGCTTTTCATATTTGATATCTTTCTAAATTTCTGTTTCTGTGCCAACTTAATACGACATAATGCTACGAATCAAAAGTACCTGTTTGGAGCTAAGATAAAGTTTCTGTTTGTTTTATTTAAGAAAGTTTTAGAAATTGGGCCTTATTATGAAATAAATTAAGGTAAAATGAGCCCTGTGTTTTTCGTATCATGGTTATCATCCATGTTTCGGCTCGCAATTCATAAAAAAGAAACAAATCTCCGTCTAAGATACGGTTTCGCAGATGAATGATTTCACAGTATGTAATGATTTTATCTATGTTACTTTTAAATAACACTTAAATGTACGTCACGTGATCTTATTCTACCACAGGTATTTCTCTATCTCTAGTTCGTGGAATTGAAGATCTTCCTTGTTAAAAACGTGAGCAATTTAATATATTTTTCGTCTGATGAATTTCATCTTAATGATGCATCGTATTTTTTTATTTACAATGCATGATCTTCTTTTACAAAATTTAAATTTATTTGGCAGTTTTAAGTCTTAGTGCTTAAAGAAAACAGTAACTTTCGTTTTCGTTTAGGCTTTGTAAATATACTTCTTAGAATTACTGACTTTCCTTGCGAAAACATGAGCAATTTCATATCTTTTCTTCTTTCTGAAATACAAAATGAATGTATTTGATTTTTAACATTACTTTTGTTATTAATAGATTAAAAATACACATATGGGCCTTCATCAAATCAGTACCTTTTTTTTTGCATTGCGAGGGGTCATGTTTTTCTCAGACTCTTTATGATCTCTTTACATTTTATCAATTCGATGTGTACTGATTGATGTTTAAGTATGATAAACTTGATTTATTTATTTGTAATGACTGAGGGTCAGGTTACAGTTTACAAAATATAGGATATTGGGTTGTATTTAAAATTTCTACAATGTACCTGATTTTGATAAATTATTGATTTACTGATATTAAATAAATTGTGTTTGGCCAAACATTTTGAACCTTTTCTGCTATAGCAGCTCTTTGGGGTTTGTATAATGTTTTGGATTGTGAATCATTTTGATATACAGGCTCACGAAATAACGTTAATTGTCGAAATGCGCACTTCGTTGACTGGGTACCGTTTATGTTATTCACTGGTTCAATACATCTGCTTGTGGTCTGTTCGCCGAAGTTATGCTGGCATAGCAATACGAATATTGTTTTATTGAAACTCGTTGTTATAAATCATTTTAATTTATGTAATGTACGTGATTCCCCCATGCGTAGCTCTGATTCCTTGTCCGGATTTGGCTATACAGTTTGATATTTTTCGATAATATCATGATAAGCTCTTCAAAGTTTGTATTAGTTTTTGAATTTTCAAAAATTGTGGCCTCGGTCATCATTGAAAATAGATTTATTGTTGAAATGTGCATCTTTTGCAGTAAATAAATTGGTACCTTGAATTTCATTATAGTAGATGCAATATGTATGGTGATATATTTCGAGGGGATTCTTAATTCAGGAATATATGTCCCTAGTTTATAGACTCGATTCTTTGTCAGAGTGTTGCTATGATGATTTAATCCTTTTGTCGTTATATCAGCTCGATCTTCACATTATTTTTTGGCTTTGAATTTTTTTTTATTCTTTTTTGTCTCGAGTGCGATATCTTGATTATAAATTGCGGAACAAGATGGAATCCATGTCCACAAGAAGCTCGTCCATTTTCAATGGCAATCTTATCATAATAAAGACCCTGTGTGCACGCTTCACCTAAAAGGATCTGACAACACTCCGTTTTATTTTCAGTTCTTTTAATTACATGTAAATCTGCCAATGATATGTCTGACTCTATATTTTGGAAGGTGTGTATCATTTCTACAAAATCGGAGGATCCCGAAAGGTCCTTTAAACAGAAAGTAGAAAGTAGAAAAAAAGTTGGTTCTTTTTTTATAGCAAAGTATTGGCATATGATCTGGACGTATTTTAATCAGTAGTTTTTAGATTGGATTTTCTTTTAAATGGTTATTTTAATTCTACGTGAAAATGTGGCTTAAATGGACTAAACTGTTCCTTAATATATTGAAATTTTAACTCAGATTTTGCAGAGAATTTTTTCAACATGAATTATACTGCATTCTTTAAACACAATTGAAATAGACGGCACATGAACAAATGAGATGCAGGATTATGGACAAAGGAAATGCATGCATGGCATACATATATATATACTTAGATATGCAGACACTTTACAAAAAAATCTGTTTTTGCCTTGAAAAGAACATTTTGGAGAGTAAATTCATTTTTATATGTCCGTGTTGTTTCGAGAGCAGTCTATGTTTTTTTGAGTGCGTCTATGTTTTATCAAGTGAAAAAAAAATCATATGGCCAACAAAGTATTATGTTCGTGCATTTACGTTTCAAAACCAATAAAAAGGTTCAAATAAAGTACTTTTCGAAGCACGAAACCAATGCATTATCCCAGTTTGAAAATGCTGTATTAACACGTAAATTTCATAAATTGCATCGTGCATTTGAAAATATTGTTGTTTGCCAAGTCTTATAAATTACGGTGGACACCAGCATAAGTATATTTTGATAGATCAAACATGTCTTCGCTCAAGTAAAGACTGTTCACATCATGCACGTCCACTGTACATGTTGAGAAGCATTGCAACAACTCTCTCTGTGGTCCATAAGCGGCCTGCTGCAATGCAAAATTTCAATTTCTGTCCATATCCAATATACACTTATTTTCCAGAGGCATTCTAAATTTACTGACTTTCTTCCCGAACGGCCTCTATTACAAGACCTACCTTTTGTATTTATTTTTAATTTGTTCTCGTCCTGAGCATAAACAAAATATTTGCCATTGGACTTAAGAAACCAACAATTAATCATCTAAAATGTCCGTTTAAATTTATTTTTTTTAAATTGCAAAGTTGAACCTTAGTTGGAATTGGCTACTTTTTATGTCCTTTTTGGTCATATTGCTCTTCGACATGTTCGGTTCTTATACATCCCTGCCTTTCGCATGTTTTGCTTTGATCGATCTGGATGAGGCTAAATCAAGAAAAAAAAGCCCCGGACGCATGACATTTTTAAAGTGTAATGTTCATTTATTATCATATATTCCATTCAATTCAAATCTTATTTTCAATGGTAAATAGAAGATGGGAGGATTAAGTGTGTGTGTGTTTATTTTGAGGGAGGGGAGGGGCTCCTCTTTAAGTAGAATAGCTTTGTTTTCATCAACATTGTAAGATGTTTTTGTGACTTATTGGGATTATGTGATAGTGTTAGTCCATTAACAACAGTCATAGACTAGAAAACATCAGTTTTAAATTCAAAGAATGACATTTTTGTTCATATTTTCTTTTTAAAAAAACCCGGACCGTTTGTTAAAAGACATGGACGTTTTTAATGTTACTCTCGAAAAAACACGGACAAAGTAAAACGTTGAATTTAATATCACTTGAAGAAACCTGATCTTCGCTCGAAAAAAGTGGACCGATTCACTCGAAAAAACACGATCTCAACCGGACACTAAACCTACCGTGTATATTCTGTATATTTAAAAAAAACTCGTACTAATTTTACGTTACTAATGTTATATTTACTTATAACAACTAAATCCTAGAAATTTGTCAAAATATCACAACCGACGTTTCAAATTTAAATGCTCAAAATATCAAATAAAGCACCATCATTGCTTCCTTTCCATTAAAAATTAAAACAGTAAAAATTAACAGTTTATCTTTGTGAGCTTTAAGTATATTGTATAGACATTTTTTTAGTTATCTATCATTATTTCAAAAGAATCGAATTAAAGATTATAGATTATTTATTTCATTGTTTATTAAATACATTGGATAACTCCCTGAGGTTACCATCAGCTCAGTAGTCAGTACTGACATGATTTATAACAAACTTGTTTAAAATTGTTTACCTCCATGGGGAATGAAGAATAGAAATATGGTCACTCCGGTCCTCTTTTGACCGGCAGTAAAACCCTAGTCAGAGTGGGCGTCCTTTTGGCTGTGCAGGATGTAAAAGTACACAGCAACGTCCGGTTAGAATGGAACGTGTAGAGAGAGTGCCATAAAGGTCCATAAGTGGCCTGTTGCAATGCAAAATTTCAATTTCTTTCCCTATCCAATATACATTGTACACTTATTTTCCAGAGGCATTCTGAATTTACCGACCTTCTTCCCGAACGGCCTCTATAACAAGACCTACCTATTATAATTATTGTTAATTTGTTCTCGTGTTGAGCATGCACGAAACATTTGCCACTGGAATACGACACCAACAATTAATCATCTAAAATGTCCGTTTATAATTGTTTTTTTAAAGTGCAAAGTTGAACCTTAGTTTGAAATGGCTTCTTTATATGATCTTTTTGGTCATATTGCTCTTCAGCTTGTTCGGTTCTTATACATCCCTGCCTTTCACATGTTTTGCTTTGAGCGATCTGGATGAGGCTAAATCCAGAAAAAACGCTTCGGCCGCATAAAGTTTTATGTTCATTTATTATCATATCATATATTTTTTTTTCAAATTGCAAAGTTGAACTTTAGATTGAATTGGTTATCTTTTAGGTCCCTTTTGGTCATATAGCTTTCTGTTCTGTTCTCTACACGCATTTTTCCTCAGTTATATATCGGAGCATAACACTCGGGATATAGGTTTAACACTTAACAAATATTAACAAAGATATTCACATAGTGTGGTGGGGTGCTAAAATTTAATAGTTTTATAAACAGATTAGAACTGTGGATTTTAAAAACGAGTATTTATAATTATGTGCTATTTACATCATTTATAGTTCTACCTAGGTTAAAATTAAGGATTTAAATAATCTTTAAGTTTCTTTTAATAAGACAGATGAGTGTGTATGCCATATGTTAAAAAATTAGAAATTAGTAAAAGATAAAAAATTAAAAGATAAAAATATAGTTAATAAAAACAAACAAAAAAAGAAAGAAAGGGAGACAATGAAGTCAGTATGGTATCAGCTTTAGACGAGATAACCAAAAATAAGATATATCAATAACTATACATTTATTATATGTCGTAAAATTTGGAAATATTTTGACCCCCTGCTAAGATCTTAAGCATATAATTAGATGCAAGCAGCTGATCTAGTCATAGATGGAGGCAGTTAGCTTGGCATTCTATGCAGACTGCCTGGTCCATCTTTCCTGTTTTGTATATGCATTGTATTAATATGTGTAGTACGATACAGTAATATTGATGTTGTTTAAATGTAAACTCACATTACTGGGGATCTTGAAGGAAAGTACTTAGATGTTTTAACAGTTTCAATTCAGTCTCTGATTAATGTATCATTGTGATTGTAGTTCGGTGCGTTTCTTAAGCATTTGGTGACCGAAATTTTGAGATTGTTTTTCTATTTCTATCGGGTCAT